TGTCCTTGAACCTCTGAATTAATTCATATTTTAAGACCAAAAACTATTTGATCTAGAACATATACATTTATGAAGATTCTTAAAAACCTGACCAGAACCGTTAATAAATTATTTTAAGATAGAAGAACACTTGTGGGTTTTATTTTTGTGGGGTTTTTTTTTGTTTTGTTGGGTTTTTTTTTGTTGTTTTTTTTTTTTTTTAATGTATGATATCGATTATATGGATTTGTTTGATTTGCTTTGAATGTGTAAATAAAACCCTTTGATTCATTTGCTATTTCTGTATACTTTGGCATGCTACACAAATCTGTCAAATCTGTGTTTGCCATGTAGGTGCTTAAAAGGGTAGTTAAATAAATTCTTGAGATGTTTTGGGGGTGTTTTTTTTGGTGCACCAAAGGATGAGCTTGATTAAAAACAGAAGTATTTTTTTGTTCCATTTTAACCACTGTAATAGAACTCAATTCTGTGCCACCATTTCTGAACAGAGAAATAAGAACTGGATTTAGAAGTAATATAACAACCGTAATGTGATTTAGTATTCCCGTTACTGTCCCCAAAAATATCCTATTAAAATCTTTGGCTAGAACACAAATCTTGATAATTCATAGTGTGCTGACTATCCAGGACACCCATGATTATTTTACAGAACATTTTGTCTTCAAATATGCATGTAATACAATATTTAGACCTGCAAATTTACATTTATCTGTATTTTATTATAGTATGTGTTTAAAAGTACATTCAATTGCCTGGCTTACCAGATGAGGTATTTTCTTAGACACTTTTTCACTTCTCTTTGTTATTTAATAGTTCTCTAGTCCTTGTAGCAGTTAAATGTTTATCATTACCATTTTCTGGTTTATACTGCTTTTCAGGTCATTGATAAAAATCTTAAATAATCCTAAGAAATTACCAAACCCTGTGGGAATCTACAACAACCGAACATTCTTAGTGATAATTTTTCTAATAATGCTTATGCTCTAAGATTTGTCAGGAAGCTTCAGATACCCTTATAGATGCCTCTGTAGCTGCTGTAGGCAGTTCATTTTCTTACTGAAAAGTTATATAGTAATGTCATATATTTACAGAAGACTTTAAGTACTTTATCACAACCATGTAACTTCTGTCATGTAAACCTGCATTTTCTTTCTAAAAGATGAATTTTCACAAAAATTATTAACGGTACGTTTTGGCCTTATAACCCTTTTCAGAATTGCTGTCAAAGAAAGTGCTCCATTAAGCCATCAGTGAAAATCCCAAGGGATTTTTAGGCAATTGGGCAGTGAAAGATCTAAACTGGAGGCCCAGTTTCCCACAGCTACATAGGCAAGGTGTGAACTTAAAGACTTCCAAGGACCTTTCAGTTGGCTTACACCCAAATCATTCACCTGTGCACGTGTCCCACAGCAGTGGTAAGAAAACATGATTTTTCTGTGAAAATAAAATGCCATCAGTAGAGGACGTGCTTTTGATATCAAAATCAGTTCCGTAAACTTTCATGAAAATTACAAGAAAGATCCAGCAAATCTAGCCTGGAATATTGGCATGCCTAGTACAAGCTCACAATTCTGGTAACATAACCCTCACCATAACTCAGGCAAATTAATATGGTTGCCAATTGTATCTGCTGTTATTTTTATTGAAATTGAAAGACAATGATGCATGGTTAAACTCACAGCATTATTTTTTTTTTTTTAAAGATAGAAATTCAATAGAATGGAAAACCTTTTTGGACACCTATAAGAAAAAGAGATTATTTTAGCCTGTGATACAAAATGAAAAACATTTATTGTGCTAGGTTTCTTTGAGCACACAGTATACAGCTAGTAATCCTCCTTATTCGGCTGAAAGACCCAGTAAGTATATATAAAAAAAGAAAAATTCTTCAGTTATAACCTGTTTCTTTCCCTCTTAAATAATAGCTTTCTAAAAATTGCAATGCAACAGAATAATAATTTCAAATGCCTTTTTGCTTCATTTCTAAACTGAATCAAACTAGCTTTGAAGAATTACATGCATTGTATAAATTTAACCAAGAATTTATGTTAGATCTAAGCCACGCTTAGTAGAAAACCAGCATGGAGATTTGTGAATTTGTATGGAGACAATATTTCCTGTACAATTAAGGAGACTGAAGAGAATAACAAAACCCAAATTACAAATGATCTTGTATATTCCTTAATCTCTACAATTTCAAGTACAGTGAAAAGTTTGGAAAAAGTTGAAGAACAATTTTCAGTGTTGAATCTACATTTAAAGCAATTTAGTAGAATTGTCTAGGTTTTCAGATTTCTGGTCATAAGTCAGTAACACACAATAAGGAGAAAGGGAAAAAAAGGAGGAATGAGAACATAACTACTTTAGGCTGAAATTTAAAGAAACGGCAAAATATAAAGACCTTATTAAGTCAATATATTTTTAAGACAGAGATACAAAATATAGAAGAGCGATGCATGTTCTCAGGCTGAAAAAATGTGTGTGCATATACATATATACTATACCATGGAAACTTTGGCAGCGACTTGTTTGAAAAAATGTCTTGCTGGAGGTTCATTCCCACATTTATGTCACAGAGCTCAGGGATAAAGAGTACTCTAGCATACAGCTGGATTTAGAGCTGTGTCATGATTTGAATTGGGCAAAAAAAAAAGTAAGAAAATTGTCCTGTTTAACAGATTGTAGTTCATTAAACTCTCTGTGTTTTGTTTCCATAAATACTATGTTGGCAGAAGTATGGCACAGATGACAAAATGAGCAGGGAGCAGGGCAGCTATACAAAAGAACTTTTTTTACTCTTAGCTAAGTAGCTTGTCTTTCAGTTAGCATATGATTGTCTAATAAAACTGTTGAATCAAAAGTGCCGCATAAATTGGTTCTGCTGATTCAGGGGTGAATAGCATTCTCTTGTTATTATACAGTATTGCAAGTGGCTTTTCTAATGCTACTGAACTTTATCTGAGTGATGTCTTTGTAGCAGTGATTAAATATTTTTGCTGGGCAGCAAACAGCACTTAACAGATCAAATAGTCTGGGAAGTGACTCCATACTCTGTAAATAAACCGAGTATATTGTCCCAAAATATGAACTCAGTATCTTGCTTGAACAACAAAACAACAACGTTTTTGAAGGTATAAAACAACTGAGTCTGTTTCAAACTTATTAATAGTTACTTGAAGGAGAAAAAAAAACATCTGATTATTAAATTAAAGAGTTTGAGCGAGTGAATTCTTGTCCAGTGTAAAAAGGTCTTGCTAGATTGAAGCAAGTGCAATGCATGAGCCTGCACTAGCTGATATTTTGGACTAGATAAAGTTATAAGAATTCTTAACATTGGTAGGAACTAATTGCTTTACAGATATGTTTATATGTATCTGATACGTAAACTGAACTGAATTGGGATGGGGCATAGGGCACATTGTGTATGTAATGTATGACAGTCCTACCACTTAAAAAGCTGGATGGCAACATTTGTACATTTGATAAATGAGATTAACGTTGTTCAGGTGCTTGCTCAGCTCTGCTCAAGAGAACAGACAAATTATTTATACTTTGAGATCTCTACCTCATGGTCTTGCTGGTCATGCTGGCATCATTGGTCGTGTCTCTAGCAATAAATAAAAAGAAACCAGAGAACAAGCTTGTGTACTGGATCCAACTCACCTACACTGCTTAGGCTAGTATCAGGTATCTTGCTTTGTTTTAGGTCACCCTTATTCACCTCTTAGGTTCACCTAAAACAATGTCTGGATGTCATTAGGAAAATAAATCTGTGTAGGCTAGCACAGGCTTGAACTATACTAGCTTGGTCTGCTCTTCCCTGGTCAGGCATTTGATATTGTCCCAACACATTCTTTTCCTTTTACTTCTACCAGATGCTGATGTGACACACCCAGAGCACACAAGAAGTATGATTTGAATTCACCACTGTAGAGCTGCAGCACAGCTCTCATACTATTCCCAATATTTCAAACTGAAAAATTCACAGAAAATGATAACTGTATCTTAAGGGCATGTGGACACCACATGGGTCCTGAAAAGATCCAGGGCCAGTTCTTATGTAGTATGATTGCTGTCTGTCTGCTCTAAAGGGGATTAGCCTGAAGGACTGAGAACATGAGCTGGCAATGTGTTCTCTCAACCCAGAAAGCCAACTGTATCCTGGGCTGCATCAAAAGAAGCACGGCCAGCAGATTGAGGGAGGTGATTCTGCCCCTCTGCTTTCATGAGACCTTACCTGGAGTAGTGTCTAGATCTGGAGTCCTCAGTACAAGACAGACATGGACTTGTTGGAACAGGTCCAGAGGAGGGTCACAAAAATGATCAGAGGGCTGGAGCACCTCTCCTATGAAGAAAGGTTGACGAAGTTGGGGTTGTTCAGCTTGGAGAAGAGAAGGCTCCAGGAGACCTTACTGTGGTCTTTCAGTACTTAAAGGGGGGCTTATAAGAAAGATGGAGACAAACTTTCTAGTGGGACCTGTTTTTATAGGACATGGGGTAATGGTTTTAAACTGAAGGATTGTACATTTAGACTAGGTATAAGGAAAAAAAAAATTATGATGAGGGTGGTGAAACACTGGAAGAGGTTGCCCAGAGAAGAGGTAGGTGCCCTATCCCTGACAACAAAGGCTGGACGGGCTCTGAGCAACCTCTAGTTGAAGATGTCTCTGCTCATTGCAGGTCCCTTCCAACTCGAACTATTTTATGTTTCTGTGTTCCTATCCATTCCTGGCCTCTGGCCAGGAATTGGTGCCTGATCTTTTTTTTTTTTTTTTTTTTTTTTTTTTTAAAAATTAAATATACATCTCCAGATACCACTCTTTTAAATCTGGCTGTAAACCAGGGGAAAAAATAAAAATAAAAAAGTCAGAATTCTCATTCTGTGTATCTTGGAGTTTTCTTTTAAATCAGATAATTACTAGAGAGACATATGACATTTTGGTTATTCACTGAAGTTCTCCATCTGTACCATTAACTTGCAGACTCTATCTTGTTTTCAGTTGTTGCAGGGCAAATCATTTCCTAAATATGATAAATGGGATCTCCGACAAACAGGCAGTGGTGGAGGTGTAGATGAACAAATCAGTGGAGATTGTGATGATGAAGATGGTTGCAGAGGATCAGGAAGTGGAGAAGTCAAGAGAGTCCTGAAAATTACAGACTGTAAGTCCATGATTCTGTTTCTTTCATTCATTTAAATAGTAAATTGGCATTTTTTTCCACTAATACAGAATTGGAAAAGGTGTGGAAAACTTGTGGGTATAATGTTTCCCATATTTACAGAAATAGAACTGCAGTGACAGGATTTCTAAGAGCATGGTATGAATATGAGTATCAGTTTCATTGTTGCACATGTTAAGACATATTTGACATAATGTAGACCGATCTCAACACAGTATTCTAGTCAAATAAAAGGTGTTACAATGACATGTCCTTGTGAGTTACTGCTTTAACATAATAGATTTGGCAGTTAAACAGAGAAATTGTTCTTATTTTTCATGGAACTATGGCAGATATAAGGTTTAGTTGTGGTAGCTGAATTTTATAGAGAACTATTAGAACCAATGTACTGTAGCACTCAGCATCAATGCAATTACTACTTCTTACACATCTTTCTGCTTTTCTTACTATTGTGGTTTCTGTGGTGTATTTTTTTTTGTTTGTTTGTTTGTTTTTTTTTCCCCTTCTCTGAAACACATTTGTAACAATTTTCTTCAAAAAATAATTTGTGAACTTCAGTGGCATGGAACTGCAAGCATGAACAATTGGATTGAAGCACAAGTAACTTAACTACTTCTGTGAATCAGGAAGTTATTCAGCATCTCTTCTTTCTCTTCCCAGTGTAGAAATATAGGCAGAGATGATGGGAATAGATACCTGGTAGAATTAAATTTGCATTTTTGCATTTTGCCTTTTTTTTTTTTTTTTTTCTATATTTTACACTGCTAAATTTAATACTCATAGGTAAGAAGTGAAAGTTGGTGTCAATCCCTGAATTTACTATATTTACTGAGTTTGAGTGTGCTTCATGTTTTCAAGCTCAGGTGAGAACCCCAAATCCTTCTTCACTTGACAGATATTTAGAAATATAGCCATAGAAGAGCTGTAGTGTATGCTTGCTCAATTCTGATATAAACAATCAGAGAAATGAGACTGAGCATTCTGGGGCATTTCTTACCAGGTCAGTTTGGAATCAGCCTAAGATACTGCTGCACTCATAGCTAGTCTATACATTTTAAAGTCCTGCTATAGCTTCTCTAGATGGGATTTTAAGAGATTAGCAAAAGAATTTGGAAACTTACTTCCTAGGAGTGCTATTGAAGATTTAACTTTGAAAGAAGAAGTTATACATCAAGTAATTTAAAACAGATGTACTTTAGAATACTGGATAGAACTATTTGATAATGACACTCTGCTGTATTGAAAGACTGTAAAATAATCTTAGAATATGACTAGGCCTATTAAAAAAGTATTAAATGACAAAAGAATTGCAAGAATGTTACATTTGTCTTCACACTCTTCTACTGCATTTAAATTTTCTTCATACTGATATATTTTGTGTAATCTTCAAAATGGCAAAAATATAATTAGCCTTCATATTCTCTTTATACAACATGTATTACAAATCTCTAGAATTATAAACTATATATTAGGCATACTGAAGTTTACATGTAATTTGGTTTCATTTGAACCTTTTCTAAGATATTACAGGACAAAAGTATAAGTCCATACTGTTCAATATTATTTCTTGTGCATATATCTTGAGTTACTAGTACATTTGATGACCTGCTGTGATTTTAAGGATTTCTGCTAGCATGCATTTATCATTTGGAATGCACCTTAAAAGGTGTCTTGAATGTATATCAGAGAGTCCTAGACAGAACTACTTTGTTCTGGGGTATCACACATGTTTATTGACATGCATTTTCTGCTCAACAGGACTGTTAAAACATTCCAGTTAGTAAGAATTTTGTTACAGTATGGGTCAAGAAAGTCTTTTTCTTCGTAAATTGTAAGATAAATGAAATAGGAACTTATTTCTTCTTTTGCATCATTGTGATATATGAGTAGTATTTTGGGAATTAAAAATGAAACTGAAAGTTTAAAAAGTAAAACATATTTTAGTAAGAAAATTATCTTCTCAAGATTTATGATTTTATGTGAGAAACTAGAGTTAAAAAAATAAAAGATAAGCATCATCATGGTTTAAGTTGGTGGAAATTTCTTAGCTTCAGGTGTCCAGTGTCAATTTCAAGCTAAGTAGATCCTGAAGTCCTTGTTTTTAGACTGAAAAGCTAGATTTACTCTGTTGATATTGCTTACTGCTCTTTGAAAAGCATGACTGAACTTCATCTAAGCTTAGAGGTTGGCCACATTATGTTCAATCCTCAATGTTATTTTGTTAGTTCTAGTGCGTTTTTGTGCATCTCAATTTTTTTAAGTTGCATACAAATAGCCAGAAATGTCTTAGTAGTTTTCTGTATTTAGATATGATTTGTATTTTATCATATACATCATGTAAGACCAACTAAACTTCACTTGTTATATAGAAACTCATTTTCATAGTCCTAAATAAACTGCTATAAAAAAGAAAAAAAAATCCACACTTGCAGTGTGAGCAAGATCAAAAAGTTAGATTTGTTCAAATCTAACCCATCATAAGCTTCTGATCTGCAGATGCTCGTAATCTTACTCAGAAGTCAAGCTCAAGAATTACAGTCTGTACAATATTACTTTGCTTCTTCTGGTATATAACAAATCATCCTTCAGGTTTTCCACTGTCACATTCTACTTCTATGCATTATAGAACATTAACTTGTCAGTGTAACATGAGCACATTTTTAAACTAAAAAGCAGACCTCAGCTGTGGTAGAACTGTACAGGTAGAGACACAGTGGACTGAGTTGGCCAATGTCCATAGACCAATTTTGGAGTCATGGCAGAAGAACAATTACACACATTAGAAATATCAGTGGCCTAGTATTTCATTGCTGTTAACTTCTAATATGTTCCAACCATAAAGACATAAGGCAGAAATAAGGCAGGGCAAACAAAACATAAATGTAGGCCACACTCCTCTATAGTACAGAGACCTAGTCTTCCATCTATGTTGATAAATGGATGACAGTAGATAGACATGTAAACCAGATGAATGACACCAGGATTGAACTGAAACACCACATAGTTTCAATACAAATATGAACTCAACCTTTAGTGTTGCAGTTTTAAACATATAGTCTTGTTACAGTCATTTTGTCTAAGAAGCACTTTTAAGTAAAAAGAACTTTCAAGAAGTTTTAATAAACTCCAGAAACCAGATACTTACTTTCTTGCCATAGATATACATTGTTATAGGACTTTATAATGCATTTATGATTTTTGAAGGTCAAATAAGAATTATGACTTATACAATGGATAAGTTATTTAATAATTATTTCCCTTAAAGTGTCACATTAAAATGCATGAAAAAAGATTCTTTATGGGGTTTAGTAACATACACATTTAATTATATCCATTATGCACATGATTAATTAACTTTACCTTATACTCTTTTGATACATGGAGACATACATATAGTATATTTTTCTCATCAAAGAAACTTTTTACAGTCTTTTTCTTTTGGGCAAATTTGCGTCCTCTCCTAATCAGCCAGGAAACAAAAGGGGATTGATACCTATTTTTTACTACAATAGAGTCTGGAGGTCCTAGCCAAAGCCTAGACTCCTTTTTGTTGGCTGTTCCAGACATTTTCAACAAGGAAATGATCCTGTCTGCTACAAATCCATGATCTTAATAAACGGATAAAGTATGATACAGAAGTAGCCCTTTTAAGTAAATAGCTTTGCATAAAGTGTAAAGATACATCTGCCTTTTTTTCATGCCATGTCATTACCTTCTGAACATGTGTATGATCCTCAGACCTGGAAGGAACAGAGGGGAAGGAAGAAGGTATATTTCTGCAAAGACAAACCACTAGCAATTTTATGTGAACACATAGTCTCTGAAGTCGAAGATGACTTAATTCTACATCCAGTGCTACAGATATAAGAATTGTTTTCACTTAGTGTTGGAGACTGACAAATGTGTGGTGACAGGCTTTAGGCTTTGGAAGACCAGAGAAGAGTTTTGGTATTTATGACTTGGAAGTGATAGCCCTAGAATTACACTAGTGCTTAAAATATGTTCTATTTTGAAAAATTCTGTGGTTTATATCAGTCAATCCTTACATTACATTCAATATGTCAAAGCCCCATAATTGCGCTGACTGCTTTGCTCTTCATAAGAACTTCTAAAATATAGCAAATCGGTGCAGTTATTTGAAAGAATGGTACTAGAAAGGTTAGTGTACTTTAAATGTATAAAATAAATAGTAGTATAAAGTCTTGACACTTCATTTGCTAGTTTTATTCTATTCTAACCCAGGAGCTCCTGGAGGACTATTTCATGTGTCACAATGAATTACCTCCTCAAAAAACCCCGCAGAATGCAAGAGGTAATAACAACAAATACTTATCACCTATATATTGATTTGAATCTGTTTTCAAAAAGCTCTGTGAGGAAGGGCTAATCCTGATATCACTCCTCTGAGGTACTCAATACCATCTATCAAAACTCTCATAAGAATTTTAGCAAGACCACTAATTTACTGAAAAGTACTCCACCACTGCTTTGTCTTTCTTATTTTAACATGCTACGCAGGTGTTTCTTCACTACAGCCAGAGATCTTCTAGTTCAGGGCTCATATATGTAGAAATATCAAGAGTGTCTTTGTGCTTAGGTATATGCAGGCAAATCTTGTGTCACACTTTTTTTCATTTTTCTCTCACCTGATATTCATCCTGTCTGAGGAAAAGTCTCCAAAATTAATTTCTAGGACTACTTAGTGTGTATATTTTCTTGTTCAGATTATGCAAGAGATAAAACCTCTTGGAAAAGACTTTATGTTGTGATTTTCATATAAAAAGTGTACTGTGATCCAAATACACCAGTCTGTGTCTCTTATCTGATGTTATACTTTATTCTCAAGTCTCAAGCATTCTTTCTGCTCTTTCTGCTCCTTCACCTCCTTCAATATAGTTGCTTTTTTTTTTTTTTTTTTTTTTTACTTACAGCTGGCAATAAAATTTTCATTGTGATGTTTGCCTTCTGTTATATGGTTTAAA